CCCCCCCGCCCCGCGCCCCTCGCAATCATCTCGGTCCATCCTTGGGTGCACCCTCCGCGGGAGTCCGCGTCTGCCCGGGGCCGGGGACACCCCCCTCCATGCCTCCGGCGATCGTCCGCCATTCGACCTCGCCCGCCAACAGCCCGGGACCATTGCTTTCGGGCCCGGAGGGCCACGCCCTGGCGGCAATGCGTGGGGAATTTATTTGGGATGTAAGCCCCTCTGCATGGGAACGCACGCCCGCCTCCGGCTCGTGGCATCCGAAAAGGGACAAAAAAAACCCAGCAACAACATAACAGCACGCCATGACTGCCATCTTGCCCGGGATTGTGGCGCCAAAAAGCAGAAGCGGGGCAGTCTGCGTCGACCGGGAATCGAACCCGGGTCTACCGCGTGGCAGGCGGCAATTCTACCACTAAACCATCGACGCTGGACACCGGAGGTCCGACGGACCGAGGGCCATTTGAAGTGAAGGCCTGACCCTCCTCCCCGAGGAGCAAAAGGGAATTTCCCATACCGGGACTCGAACCCGGGTCTCGTGGGTGAGAGCCACGTATCCTAACCACCTAGACTATATGGGAGATCTTGCTGGGGCCCACGCCTCGTGCGCTGAAATCCCGGAAGCCGGCCACCGCCGGACACGCGCCCACGGCCGGCTTGCCCCCCCCCTCCCGGCTCGGCCGCGCCCCGGCTCCCGGGCGCACATCGGGCACCCCTGGCCCAGGGATCTCACGCCCTCGCGGGGACCGGAGAGCCCGAGGCCTGCCGGGCCGTCGGGGCCCGTGGGACGCTGCCGCGCGTGGGCCCCCGCGCCGCCGCCTTTGCCGGGGGACGGCGGAGCGCATCAACACCCCCTCGCGCAATGCCACCTCTCGGCCGCAGGTGGGCGCGGCGCTCGCGGCACACGACCCGGCCGTGCTGCCGCATGTCGGCCCCCGAGCCGACTCGCGGTCCGTGGCCTGGGATCTGGCCGGCCGGCCGCCCGGGTCCCGGTACCCCAGCCGATGATCGCATCCTCTCCGACTCCCCCCTCTGCCTTGGCCAATGGCCATCTCATGCTCCGCGCTTGGCTTCCGACGCGGCTCGGTGCCGGGACCGCGCCTTCCGGGTCGCTGCGAGAAGGACCCTCGGCCAGCGCTCCGCCCCCCCCCCCTGTGGGTCCAGATTCTCCCTCAACGTCGGCCGCTTCAGGGGTCTCGGCGGCACGCGAGGGTCGACCCATCGCCCGGGGCCGGCACCCTCCCGCAGACCGATGCACGCGGCGCTCTGGGCAGGGCGGCCGCGCGTGCGTGCTCCTGGCCCGGACCCGGGCACATGGCCACAAGGCCAACCGCACGTCCACCCGCACCGGCCTCCCCCTGCCCGTCGTGCTCCACCACGCTCGCCTGGGCCCGGGCCCGACTGTGTCCTCGGCCCTCCTCCCGAGCAGGGCACATCTGTCCGGGCTGCAGGACTCATGAAAAAGCCCCGGCCGCCCCGGGGACCGCCCACCCCCGGCGGGCCACCACGACTCGGCCGCACGCCGGACGCCCCTCCAGCCTCGCACGGCACAACACCCCCCTCCCTTGGCGCCAACCCCCCGGCACCCCGATCGGCCATTTGATCGGGGGAAAATACCCCCCTCCCCCTCGAAGGGGGGGCGGCGGGCCCCCCGTTGCTGTCTTTTCTCCCCATGCCGGCCGCCCCCGCCGGGCCCTTCTCCACCCCCCGCCCCTGCCTGCCTCTCGCGGCGCGTGCAAAAAGGACGATGCATCACCGGCAGGATTTGAACCTACGCGGGCAGAGCCCATCCGATTTCTAATCGGACTCCTTAACCACTCGGACACGGTGATCTGCCGCCTGCACGCCTTTTCCCATACTTGATTTCCTCCATCCGGATCTTCGGCTCGGGCCCCCGGTCCGGGGGCCGGACGCGCAGAAAACGGGGGCGTCGTGCGAACGAGTGGCCGGGGGGGGGGGGGGGGTGAAAAGAGCCCCCAACTGGGGGAGTCCCCCCTCCTTCGCCCCCTCCTTCCCCCCGTGGAGAAGGCGTGCCTGGCCATGGGGCCGGCCGCCGTCCCCGAGCGAGGGGGAGGCGCAGCCACCCCAACAGCCAGCGCACTCCCCGCCAAGGGAGTGCCCCTTTTTGGTGGGCTGGCAGCATCTTCGCCTGGGGGCAGGGCAAGGGACCACGCCCCGATCTGGCGCGGCACCTCCGGCGGCCGAGGAGGCCCCCAAAGGGGCAGCAAGAGCGAACAACCCTCGCGGGGCACCCTTCCCGGGCGCACCACCACCTCCACGCTCCTTCCCTGCGGCGGGGGCCGGGAAAAAAAGGCTCTCCCCGAGAATCCGGTTCCCAGGCCGGGCACCCATGTACAAGAGGCCGCCTCGTGCGCTCGTCCACCGGCGGCGCCCTCCCGGCTGTTTCCCGCGTCCCCCCCTCCCCCATTAACACACACACAGAGACTTTCTTTCTTGACCCATGACCCATAAGCCCCTGCTCTACTTCTGGGCCGTGGTGGCCGGTGCCCCGACCACGGTCGACCAGGTTGACGCCCCCATCCCCGACTACCAGTGCCTCGAGGAGCACATGAGGTCCACCCGGGCAACCTTCATCCAAGGCCAGGTGCTTCCGCTCGGGCCGATTGCCCCACCCCGCCGCCAAACACCTCGCCATCCAGCAACTCACCTGCCCCCGGCCTTCCTCCCCGGGCCGATGCACCGCCCGGCCGGCTCAGGAAACCCTCTACCTGCCGGGCGTTATCCTCCGGCCCAGGGCTCTTGTCGGCGAATGTGGCAGATTGATGGCTGGCGCCGTCACGCCCGATACGGTCATCGCCTTGGAAGGGGCCACTCCCGCCATCGATCAGGCCCTCAATGGGCCCAACCTTTTGCGGTGTGCCCTGCCCGGTCTGGAGCTGCCTCTCCCCGTGGGCGAGCACTTCGTTTCTCCGGCCGGCTTCAGTTCCTTTGCCAACATCCCCACAGCCCCGGTGGTCTTTCGCGTGGTGCCCGCCATCTTTGCGGCCCTCTTCGCTCCGCTCTCCGGCAGCAACCCCACAGCTGTCGGCTTCCGCACCGTCTCCCCCCAAGCTCTCGATGTGCTTTTTCTGTGCGCCCTGAGCCCCCCCGGCGGGCAGCCAGCCACCCTCCTTCTCCGAGCTTCGTCCTTCTTCCCCCCCCCCTCTCTTGTCCTTTGGCCACATGCCCGTATGCTCACCGGGAATCTTGCCCCATGTCTTGATTCGCCCCCCCTCCCCCCTTCACTCACACGCGCATACTCATCTGCAAATGCCCCGCCCCGGGGCCTTCATCACTCCGGACGTCTCCAAGCCCCGATACCCATTTCGCTTTCCGGTCTGGACCCTGCGCACTGACGTTTGCCGAGGAACTGCAGCGTCTATTTGGCGACCAGGCATCCTTGCGCTTGCTTCCCATGTCGCATCCCCCGCCCTTCCTACATTCGGCCTACCTCAGGCAGGTCCCCGCTGACGACATTTCCCTGCTCAATTACTCGTCATTCCGCAGCGCCAGCTCTCTGTTTGAGTTGGGCATGCGCCTGCTATTCAAGGGCCAGGTGCGCCGGGCTTCCCGGGCCACGGGTCTTGGAGGGTGCTGCCCATGCCGCTGACAACCATCTCTCTCTCACTCCCGCACCCCCCTTCGGGCGTTCTCTTCCCGGGCCACCCACCCCTCCGCCCATCTCGCCCTCGTCGCTTCCCGGTCCTGGGGGCGGGGGTCTTCTTCCGAACACACTGGCACCCGGCCCCCTGAATGGCGCTTCCCCCCCCCCCCCCAGGCACATGTGGATGGCCGCCAGTTTGTGCACCTCCTGGATCACCAGCTCCAGGATGTACCCTACGGTCTTGTCCATGAAGACACATGGGTGTCCCCCAAGCTCCTCCGGCTGCCCGATGTTCAGCTCCTCGGCCAGAAGCAAGACTTGCAGCTGCGTCTGTTGCCCAGTGTCCTCGCCCCCCCGGGCATGGTCATCATGTCCGACCGGGCTTCCGCGCGGCTTGGCCTCCCGCCCGAGCCCTGTCGAGCGGCATTCCGCACGAAGGATGCCTCCCTGCTCCGGGTGATTGTCCTGTCGTACGGTCCTCCACATGTGCCTCCCTCTGGCCATCCCCCCCTTTCGGGTGCACTCACCCTTCACCTTGTTCCCTCTCGCCGCCGCCGCCGCCGCCTCGTTCCCTGCTCGTCGCGACCCCGCACACCATCATCAATGCGTGCCTCTGTCACGCCGCATCAGGTCGGCAATGGCCAGCCTCGGCGCCAAGGTCCTCCTGCCGGTTCGCTTCTCATCCACCCGTCGACCATCGACGCCCTGGGCAGTCCAGACGCCGAGGTGTTCCTCGGTCCGGACGACCATCAGCCGATTGACCCGTCGGTGCTGGTCGCCGGTATGTCCGAATCCCGGCAGCTGGCTCGGGCTCGCCCGGCCACGGTCCACATCGACGGCCGCCCCTGGTCGTCGATGACGCTCCGGCTGGACCAACCCCTTCCGGCCTGCACTCCGGCCTGCACCATGGCCATCGGCCAGAAGCGGCCCACCGGCTCCGGCCACGCCTTCCACTATGTTCGCATGGGCCAAGGCCCTGCCATTGGTCTCACGTACGTCCCTTCGCTCGTGTGGCCGACAGCCGCGCTCCCCGGCGGCATGGCAAGCTCCGGCGCACAGACCCTCGCCGAGCACCTGCGCAGGCCATTTCCCACACATACAAACACACACTCAGAGAAAGCGAGAGAGCGAGACCAGCTTTCTTGCCCCGGCCATCGACCGCCCTTCGGGCATCTGAACAGACCTCATCAAGCTGACCCCCCGCCCGCCCGCCCGCCCCCCCCCCCTTCCCTTGCACTTCCCACCGCGCAGATTCGATGACTCCCTTCCCGAGGGGGATATCAAGCTGTCGGCCGACCTCCTGTCTTGGGTGATGCTGCACGGCCCGCAGCAGTTGGAGCTCCATGTCCTCGCCCTGGACGCGCCCCTCGCTGCCATTGCCATTGGCGGCAGTCCGCCCGGCACGCACACCGCCGGCCCTGCCGGGGGTCGGCCCGCTGCGAGCCTCCACGCCACAGGGTCCTCCGGCCCGACGACCGGCTCCCCGGCTTCCCAGGTGCGTCCTGGGCACATGGTGCGAACGCGCGTCCGGACCATGCCTGACCCATGGCGGCTGTCCTCCTTCCTGCCCTGCCCCCCCCGCCCGCCCCCGCGCGCGCCTATTCCATGACCGGCGCCTTGCCGCCGCTCGGTGCCGGGGTTCAGAATGGCAGCCACGCCACCCACCTCCAGAGCTCCAGCCGCCCGGCGCATGGTGATCACATCCTGCTGGGCGTTCACGGGCAAATATTGCAGCATGCCACATTGCAGGAGGGGCTCACGCGCACATTGAGCCGCCCCTCGTCCCCCCTGCCCCACCGGCGTCTGCCCCATGAATGCCTCGTCTCCATCTCCCTCACCGAGCACTTCGTCGTCACCTCCCGAGTGGACCCCATCCCTCGGCACGGGATGCCGTGCATCTTCATGCACCCGCGAATCTGGCACTTTCTCCACGAGACCCTGGCCCCCACGCGGATGCATGAGACATCTCCCCCATTGGTGCTCTTCAGCCATGTCATCTGCGAACTCCAGTGCGTTTGGCCCCTTGTCGGCCTGCTCTCGGGCGAGGGCCTCCTGCCGCTCCAACCACCATCCCTTTCCCTGTCCGGCCTTGCGGCCCCACTCACTCGGCAAGCATGGCCACCAGTGTCTGGTCGGCGAGCTGCTCCCCGCCAGTGGGCCCCGACCCTGGCCAGGTCGACGTCCTCCTCCCGCCCACCATCATGCCTCGCGCCACCAAATACCCCAGCCAATCGATCAGCCCATCCCTGTTCCAGATCAAGATCCTCCATCCGGCCCGGGAGCTCGATGTCCATGTCCAGGCTCCGGGCTGGCCACTGCCCGAGGGCCACTCGCCCGCCTTCATGCAAGCCCTCGTCTCGTGCCTGCATTCTCACATGGCCGCCGTTCGGGCATTGAGCTCTCGCGTATGTCCATCGACCCATCCACCCGCCTGCCCACGGGCCACGATCGCACCCGGCCCCAGGGTAGACCGCCGCTCGGCGCCCGGCGCCCCCTCTCCGGGTCTTGTGGCCCACATCCCCCGCGCCCCCTGCGGGATAGGGTCGATCCCCGACGGCTACCCCGCCACTGGCCACATCTGGTGGACTTACGTTGCTCCTTCTTTTTAATCCCCCTCCCCCCTCCCCTCCGCTGGCCCCTTCGCCTCCTCGCAGTCCTACGTCCTCCCTGCCGGCACCATCCCAGGCTATCCGAATGTCGGTGAACTCTACTACAGCATCCCTGCAGGACGAGCATTCGGCCCCGACGACAAGGAGCCCCGGGCCTTGGTCTACTCTTCGGACACCATGCTGAAGGTGGTTCTCGGCAAGCCGATGGTCCTCTTGGCAGAGGGGACCGCGCCCCCGACCCACACCCCGGCCCGACTCAAGTTCCTTGCGGTCGACATCCAGACGCCCACCGACCATCCTCTTGCACACCAGCACCTGGAGTCCATGCTCAAGAGTCACATTGCCGCCCATCCAGGCCCCTGTCCCTTGGTACATTCCCCTTCCCCCCCCCCCCCCTGAGACGGGCCAACTCGAGCTGCCTGTTGCTTGCTGCTTGCCTGCTGTGGCCTTGCATCTCGTCTTTGGCCTCGAATCTCCTCCTGCCCTGTCATCGCCCTCCCCCCCCTCTCCTACACACACACACACACCCACATGTACATATATTCACGCACACGCAAATAACAGACCGGCTCCATGGAAGACCCCACCAGTGGGCTCCCAGTGGCATTCCACATCAGGCTGCTGCTGACAGACCAAGGGGCCGCCACTCCAGGAGGACGCTTCGACCCGGGCTTTACGGCCATCCACTTCGGACCTCGACCGGGGTCCGGCGCCATCATCACCGACGCCCCAACGGTCTTCCTGCTTTCGTCGCCCAGCCGCCCCGGCCACATGGTGCCCTTCCAGGTGACACAGCCCCCTCGCCAGAGCCCCTTTTTGACGGACGCCTTCATCCTGCCCGAGCATTACCGCCAACTTGTGCACCTGGCCGCCGCACGGCAGCCCTGCACCCTGTCCCTCGGCGATGCCGACCGGCCACATATTCCCCCCCTGGCCTTGAGGTATGCCCCACATGGCCCCATGCGCTTCCCATGGCCACCCTCGGGCTTTTCCCTCCCCCTTTGCCCTTGCCATTGACGTCCCCCCCCCCCCCCCCTCGCCGAGTAAGAACTACCTTTGACAGCTTCTCCCGGGCCAATTGCGCAAGCACCTGCTCGACATGTCTGGACCGCAAATTCATCAGCACTTGCTTTTCCTGGGAGTGCTGGTCCACGGCCTCGTTGCCGCACTCGGAGGAGGCGCCCTGGTGCCATGCCCACCAGGGGCCTCCCACCACGGCATGTGCCACCGAGCTGCAGCCCACCCAGTCCGGACTTCCGTCCTTGATCATTCCCCTTCAAAACATGGCCCAGTGGAATGTCCTCGGGTCGGTGAGGACATTCACCCTGCACGCCGCCGCCGACCCCACCACGGAGCCTCCTCAACCGCAGTCGGTGTGTCAGTCCACCGCCAAGGCCGTCTCGCGTCCTTCCTGGCGGCACACCCATCTTACACATGCCACCATGCCAGAGGACCACCCCCATCCCATGATCACAGAGCTCACTCAGACCCCCCTCCCCCCTCTCCCATGATGGCACCTCTCTCTCTCTCTCTCCCGCTCGCCCGTTAGATCCCTCGCACGCATGGGCTCTCGCCGGCCGAAGCGTCAGGAGATGCCCCCCGCGACACGGCAATCACCCTGCCTGGCCCCGAGGACCAGCTCCCGGACTCCGATACCCCGGGCCAGTCAGGCCCCGACCAAACGTGCGCACGCGTCTGGCCCCCGTTGCTCCAGGATGCCGCCTCTCCCTGACCCCACCCCTCTCGCCACCTCGGACGGGCTCCCCAAGTGTCGCCGTCATCTGCCTCATCCTGAGTGACTTCTCCGAGGGAGACTACCAACACATGAGTTGGACCCTGCGCCGGGTGCTGTCATTCCCCTCTCTCATCATCAGAGATCGGGTATGTGTCTCCTCCCCCCCCCCCCCCCCCCCCCCCCCCCCTGCCGCCTGCCCCGGCCCCCTGGCCACACATCTTCCCTCTCCCCGTCTCGCCAAGCCAGCCCTCGATTTCCCCATACGACACACTCACAGCAAGATGGATGCCGGCCCTGGCCACTGCCCCCTTGGCAGGTGGCCCATGCATGCCAGCTGGCCGGCCTCCCGGCCAAGGACACGGTGCTGGCCGACCCTCGCGGCCAGCCGATGGACCAGGGCCACGTCGACCCGCGCCAGACCATGATCGTCTTCTACTCGGCCGGTGGCCGGATCAACGGTCATCCGAGCATGCTTTGGATTGATACCTCGGGCCTTCCGGCCGGCCGGCACTTCTTTCTCCAGATCCTGCCCCATAGAAACAGCGATAGTCCCATGTCCATGTATGTCCCGCCGGCGGTCCATCGGGCTTTGCTCCAAGCAGCTCCCCCTCGCCCGCCCTCCCCGACGGCCGATGCACATGGCCATCGCACGCCCAGCCCGCCCATCTCCTCGAATGCTCGGACGCTCCTCAAGTTTTCGCCCCCTGCCGTCCAGTCTCCCGAGCACGCCATGCCCTTCTCGACTGCGGGCTCTCTGGCGCAAGGTGTCATGGACATCGTCGCCCAGACGCCCCTCCACTTGAATGGCCTGGGCTATGTCCTTCAGTACGCCACGGCTCCCCCGGCTGCGCGCTGCCAACACTGGGAATCACCCCGACGGGCGATCCCCCCCCCCCCTCCCCACCATGCTCCCAGCTCGGCTTCTCTCCTGACTTCAATGCACATTCCTCCGCCACCCGTCGCCACATCCTCCCCTTCAGTGACCATGGCTCCCGGGATGTGTCCTGTTTGGTCCCCTGCCGCTGTTGTGGAGGCCATGCCCACATCCTGCTCTGCAAACACACACCGACGCAGTGTGTGCCCAACACGCCGGATGAGGCTGCCACATCGCCCAGCACTTTGCTCTGCACCGATGTGAACCACATCAAGATCGCACAGGACAATGCACTCGGCACGGCGCCGGCCATCCTCCCGCAACCTCTTCGCCAGGGGGTCGCCATCATGCCATCGACATTTGCCCCCTTGTCCTTCTCCGGCTCCCTCATCCGCATGACTCGCCATGTATCCAGCCCCAACGCCACAAACCCCCACGTGCCCATTCGACACCTGGTCATGGCTGTCTCCCTCGACCGCTCCACGATGACGAGCCATCACCCGGATTACCTCGAGTTCCGCGCCCGGCTCTTCCTTACCAAGCACTTTTCCCACTGCACGCTCCACTTGCCAATGGTGCGTCATACATCAGCCGAACATCCGCATGCCACGCCCTGGAGAGCACCTCGACTGCCTTCTTTCGCGGGAGAGCGACAACAAGAGCCAGATCACCCTTCCTCCTGCCCATCTGCCCGCCTTCTCTCGCCCATTAACATCCCACATGTCGATGTCCACGCCTTCGATCATCCTTTTGTGCCTCCTTGCCGGGGGCCGGCGACCTCTTTCTCTCTCTCTCTCTCTCTCTCGCCCTCTCTCGATGTACAGATGTTCCAGACTCCCTATCTCTCTTGTCGGGTCGCTGCCATGGTCGACGACCAGGGGACCTCCCTTCGCTCGGGCATCTTCATTGGCCATGCCCCGCAAGAGGCGATAGTCGCCCAACATGCCACACCCCATCTTCATGGGCGCGCCCCGGCGGTACCAACTGGTACTCGGATTTCTTTCATCTGGCCAGGCGGTCGGCCAAGCACATATATCCGGAGGCCGATTAGAATCATTCCCATCCGTTACCGCGACTAGCCTGCTCGCCACCCGTCGCCTCCCCCTCCCTTTCCTGCTGTTCGAGGAATAGATCATGCTCTTTCGGCCCATTGTTCTCGTCCCGGCGTGGTTTTTTGCTCCTCGGGCTCGGGTCGCCCGCGATGAATGCCTCCTGGTGTGGCCGTGCTTGCGTGCCCTGTCCGACTGATCCTCGCCTCTCCCTCCGCATGGAGCCCACTGCCATGCGAAGCTCACCTCTTTCCGGCGGCCTCCCTCTCCCATGGACGGCGTTCGCCGAAGCATGGCCCCGGTGTCGGCGAACCGCCTGGCCAGGGCCTGCTGATGGTCCCATGAATGGACCCAAGCGCCCGCGCCGGGCACGTCCAGCCAAAGCCCCTCTCCCTTCATCGGGCGAGGGAGGCCCCGAGGATGTGCTCTGCTGACCTTGTGTCGGTCCAGCTCCGCGCGGCCAACCCCCCCCCCCCCTCCCAGCCACGGGCGGCAAACACAGCCACAGGAGCCTGGAATGGAAAAAGAAAAGACCACCCTTGCTGCTCCCTCGGCTGGACCCAGGCCGCCGGCAAGATTCCAGGCCCCGATGTCCTGGCGACATGGCTACTCAGGCGTGGGGCGGAGGGGGACAGCCAGCGCCGGGCTCTTGGCCTGTTGAAAGCCACGAGACAATATGGCGACCAGGGAGGGGGGGGGTCATCTTTTTCGCAGGCACTCCTCTTGTGGTGCGAGTGGCTGTGCATTTGGATCTCCGGCCCTCTGCTTGCGGCTGCCCGAGGAGGAGCTGCCTCATTCGCTTCTCCCTCCTTTCTCTGATCTCATCGTCGGTCGCCATCGCCAGTCTTCGCGCGGGCCTCTGCTCTAAGGGGGCCGAAGTACGCACCCACCCACCCGTACACACACACACGCGCGCGCGTGGGCGCGCGCGCGCGCTCCCAGGCCCCAAACGCCCCCTCTTGCGATACCTTCCCGCTCCCGGACCGGCGAAGGCGGCCTCCAAACGGGAGCCATCGGGCCGCGTGGGCCACACGTCCATTCGGGCATGCCGCTCGATGAGGGTCCCTGTAGGGGCGAAAGAACGCTCGAGCTACACCCAGCCCGCTGGCTTGACAGGCCGGCGGCCTTGGGCCAGGGAGAGCCTCACGGCACCACATGCCTGGGCCCATCTCCAGGGGGCTGCCTTGTGCGATGACGGCGAGGAAAGTCCCTCTTGCCCGCCAGTCGGGGGTGCACCCCCCCCCCCCCCCGGAGCGAGTGTCAGTTCCCACCCCGGCCGCAGGGGCGGCCGAGTCGGCCCCCGCAGCGCCAGCCATGGAGGTCCGGCCCGTTTGCCGTTGCTGGTCGCGCAATCTCAGCGCCCTATGGCCGCCTCCTGACGCGGACCCGGCCCCACAGGCGGGCGTCGTCCATGCTCGCGGCCTGGCGCCCGAGCGGCGAAATGGGGCATCCTGCCGCAGGCGTCCCTGAGGCCGCAACTCCGCTTGCATACCTCCACCTCCCGGGCCCGGCAGGGCGAGCATCTGACCCCCTCCAAGCCACGCCGGGCCCCCAGCGCCCGCCCTGTCCGGGGCTCGGGCGATGGCCGCACCCAGGCGCCAGAGCCGTCCCCATGCGCAGGGCGGCGGAGGACGCCACCGCCCGGGGCCCCTTGCCTGCAACCATGGCGGCCACATCCGCCCGGCGGGCTGGGGATGGCAGCCCTCGAGGACAACCACGGCTCTTTTCCATGGGAAGGGGGTGCCTGCACCCCGCCGAACCTCGCGCCTTGAAGGAGACAGTCCCTGGGCGGCTGCACTCGCGTGTCGCACTTCAGGCACCCGGCCCAGCCCGCACGGCAGCCCACATGGACAGAGCCCATTCCGAAGAACAGCCATGCGGCACTGCGTCTGGTCGATCCTGGTGACGCGGGCGGCAGGGAACACACCCGAGCCCCAAATGCCCAAGGGCAGCCCTACCAAAGCCCCGGAGCCCTGCTGCCTCCGGCCGGCCGGCCCTCCAGGGCCCCAACAAGAGGGACATGCCCAGGGCAAACCCGGCCCAGCGCCGAGACCCGTGCGGCCGGGTTGAGCGCCGGGCCGGCCGAGCTGCGCCGCACGCGTGCCTTGAAAGCGGGCGTCTGCTGCCGCGATTCGGCCACCGACGAGCCGGCACTGCAAGGCCGGACGGTCGCTCGCCAGGATGCCGGGGCGCATGGCGCGCGCAGGCGGCAACCGCTGCCAGCGGCGCACCCAGCCGGTGCCCGGCGAGAAGCATCCCGTCTCGAGATTGGCTCCAGTCTCGAGGTCCGGAGCAGGACAAGCACCCCCCAGGCAGGGACATCTATCCGCCCGGCAGTGTGGCCATCCTCGATGGCCAGTCTGTCGGCCGCCCGATGGCCCTGCTTGCCTGTGCTCCTGCGGGCCGCCCTCCCATCCCCCAAAGACCCTGCATCCCGGGGGCCCGGTGTGGGGTCATTCATCCGTGATCCTGCACGCAAGAAGGTGCACCGCGGCTGCCGGGAGATTGCGAAGCCGCGCCAGTGCCATCTCCCCGCCCCCCCTGCCCCCCTCCCGCCGGATGCGCGAGTGTCGAGTCGCCACACGCACCGGGGAAGATCGCAAACCGGGCCCAGCATGATGGCTAGGATCCTCCCCCCCTTCCTTCCGCCCGAGGCCCGCCAGCCATTTCAAAGAGACCACCCCCAGGGCGGGCCCCTGGGCCTATGACCGAGCCCGTGCAGGCTGCTTCACCGACATGCCTCCGGTCCATCGGTCCCTCGACCGACAAAGGGCCAGGTGACAGACAGACAACTGCTCAGCCGCTCCCTTCCCTCCGGACGAGGCGACTCCCCAGCCCGGGCGGCCATGTGCAATGTGGCCGCCCTCGCCATCGGCCTGCATGCACATTGCTCGGTACCCCCGGCCCCAGGCAGTCGTCCCAGCCCGGTCGACCACCGTCACCCCGCAACCCGGGCATGGCCCGTGAAGGGGTCCCTGCCACCGGATCACACGCCCTAGGGGGACACCTCCCCACCACCGGCCCGTGCATCTGGCGCCCAGCACCGGTCGCCGGTGGCCGGGCATGTTGCGTCCCCCCGCAGGCCAACCGATCGCCCGGGCACCAGTAAACCGTCCCACTGACGCCCGGGGCACCGGGAAGTCTCCCGTCGCCGGCCAGTGGCCATATACATGGCCCAGAGCCAGCCACCCTAGCGAGGGTGGCACACCCGGGAGCTGGTACATCGCTCGACCCGACCGGCGGCCGAGCCCCCCCCCCCCCCCCCCCCCCC